ACTTTTCATGCCCCTGTTACCGTAATACTGAAATTTCTATTCTAGTATTTACGTCTCGACACCATGTTCCGTTCATCGTGAAGTAAGGTTTTTATTCGCAAAATATTTATTTCTGAATCTCATGTATTCATTACGTATACCTTAATTGCAATGAAGTAAATTTTTATTTGATTTTCCACGAAAATTTATATGTAAATAACTCAGAATAGCTAGGAAGTAATTTTGTGCTCTTTTTCTGTGTTTCTCTGAAATGCATGCTAATATTAACACTAAAATTATCAGTGATTCAGGTTTATTTCTGTAATTGTTATTAAACAATTTTTAAACAACAAAAAAATAAATTTATTTATTTATAGTTTGTAAGATTTAATTCTGAATAGTATAACACTCGCTTAGTAGAGATTACCTATTCGCACGTTGACTCCTAAGTATGTTTTATGAAAATGCCTTCTGCAAATAATTTAGAATTTTTTATTTTATATAATAATATTTTATTTAACCAAATTTTCATAACAGACATTCCTTCTTTATCAGTATTCGGTATAAATCTTTCATCACCGACGAGAAACAGGGACATTTCATGAAACTTCGTGTCCAGTAGTTTGAAAAATTTAATATTGAGGCAGGAAAATATACTCAATTGTTTATAAGTAATTTTTAATTGTTCCAAATGCTGTATTTTTTATACGTTTCTCTCTTGTTACTGGTTATTCATAGAAATTTAATTATTATGTCAAATTGTATAGATTTTCTGTTTCTACTAAACTTTGTTGAAAACAGATACCTACATTATTGGTTGTGGATATTAGACCTAACGGTACCAATCGTTGTTATGCTATACTCAGCATCACACGCTTAGGATACACTGCAAGTTATTCATACAGCAGGATTTTCTATAACCGACTTCAGATATAATATTGATCATTCGTGAATGTAATTTAATATCAAAAACTCAAGATATGTTTAAGTATATTTTGTAATGTATACACTAGTATTTCAATTTCCACATTCTCCATTCTCAGAACTAATATTATGCGCCTAGTGTTCTCTGGAATTAGGAACACAGATTAGAAAAAATCCTTATCCGATTTAATATTTAGGGCAGCATAAATGATACCGTTCTGACATTCGATACTTTCAACAGGTGTGAATTGTAAAAGGATTAGAAATCAAGGTTCCACCATCATACTTCGTGATAACGAAGTTTGACAACAGACTGAAAGTATCACAGAATTTTCATGATATCATTAAAATTGGCTTATCTGTCTCTGAAATGCTGTTATGCATAGTAAATAGAATGATGTGTTCCTTTCTAAATTCTTCATTGGTTAATGTAAACATACCATTAATTCTGCAATATAAAAAGTCAAACATTTCTGTGACCCATTTCAGGAAATAATTCAGAAATATTAGAACACTTATCATTTGAGATAATTTTATTACAATCTGATACGTAATTCCAAATTTTTCATTTGCGGATATTTGAATTTTTCAACAATTAAAATTGGCATTTGTAACTAAATGAGAATAGTATGTCGACATTTATAAAATCATATTAGAGGGTGCAACGTAATGTTCTAATATTTGATTGTGAACGTAAAAATACAGAAAAAAATGTCACATCATTTTAATATCTCAATTAACACCCAAGAATTTCCGAAATGGTAGACGGTATAAACACTCGAACTTCACGATTGTCGTAAATTCAGATTATTCGTATATTAAGTCGTCTACGAATATACTATGACTATAAAATATCGAGCGATGGATTCAAGGAAATAAGCGCGCGGCTCGTTCAAAGTAAAACGATCAAATGCCCAAGGCTGCATTCAAGGTGTCGCTGGCAGTGTACTACGGTTACATAAAAGTTACATACTTTGACAATCACGTTAGCAAATAAAATAGACATGCGTTGGTTAACCCACAAATTTCATACTTTGTGGTCAGGTAAAATAATCGACATGTAATGATCGTGTTGTGCAGAACACTAATGAACTTGGCAAGGTTATTTCCCCAGTGATGTTGATGAGAACGCTTACGCAGTCAGATCATAATTGATTGTTACATTTATGAGCTTACAATTGTGCAGTAAAATCACAAGCAGTTGAATATTTCATGATTTATTTTACTATAAACTCACTTCGATGTTTTTTTCTTTAATTAAGAATTAATTGTTACATTTATGGGCTTACAGTTGTACAGTTAAATCACAAGCAGTTGAATATTTCACGATTATTTGACTATGAACTCACTTCGATGTTATTAATAAGATGTAACTCGGAACATAAAAATGTTGGATGAAGTTATTTTCATAAAATAGCAGAATTGACGTACAATAATTTATTTTAAACGCTTTCAAAAGCATGTTTTATTTATTCAGATTACACATGCCAGTGAATGATTCACCATTCTCTGAAGAATAGTATATTTGCTCCTAAGGTAAATGAAATTTGATACATCCTTTCACTCGGTGTAATGTAAATAATATAAAATGTAATAATATAATGATAAATGTTATTAAATAAATAACTAATGTTATTAGTATCGATATATTAAGTCAAGTAAATAAGTAACGTTATTAAGTAAAAATACTTTGTGTTTTCTGTCAAATATTTCGAATTACACAATCCGAAAATACTGAATAGACTTATACTCGTCTTTCTCTAATTATTGCCACATCTCTTGCCCAATAGCTAACAATACATAAATCCATAGAGCGCATGATAAGTATCCCTCCTGTGTCATGAAGATATACTAACTGCAGAAGACTACAATCTAAAGACATTCACCTTATGCACCCATAAACAATCGATAGCTGCAATCTTTTCTGGCTGCAATACGACTCTAATCATACCTTGATATATCGCCACGGAAATTCAGCATCTACCCTTACAATTTTCCAAGTAAAGAACGCGTTTGCACCGAGAACGTGACATATCCACGCTTTTCGTCCAATAAATTACAGCAAATACAATAAACTGTTATTGCATTCGTATATACTTATACAGTTATTCACAAAAGTATCCGACCACATACTTATGCAATATATTTTACATATTTGATGAGTGATAAAGGTGCCATTACTGGGTATAAGTTATATTGTCATAAATCTTGCCTCACATGCTTTAACCCTTCAACACTGGACCTCTGTATCTCCGCACGTCGCAACCCGTTCTTTCGTATGTCATCTCGTCACTGCTACATAATGACATACGAAAGTAGGAATAAATATATTACTATTTTATATAAAAATAAAAATAAATATAAGTTTAATAGTACTCTTACTATATAATTTATTCTATTCCCGAAATAATTTACAAAGTGAACAGTAAAAGGTTTGATAAAAATTCCTACGTAAAAAGACAATTAACTACCTTACCATTACACTCTGAAAACATGTATAGAGTGAAAATAATAATGATAATAAAAATATTTATATTCGCTATGAGTCAGTCTTACTCTGCTTTAAGTTAGATTAGATTAGGTTAAATTAGAATTCATTCAATCAGTGATTTAACAGCAAAAAACTGTTTTGCTACTACCAATTTATTATCTTCAAAGTAAATTTACACTTACAGTGGAATGGAAATTTTTTTTGCGTTCCTTTCAAATGATCGATAGTCAAATATCATACGAACTCAGTCGCGAAAGCTACTGATTAAAAAAACATTACATAATTTGGTAATATGGTATATATGGTATATATGAACAGATACTTTTGCAAGTAACTGTATCTCTTCTCAAAAGATACTGCGAGCAACAGGGATTGTAGACTCTTGCAAAATCTGCCGCCGAAGGGACAATCGGCGTTCTATAGAGATAGAGCGTGCCATTCTCGAAGACCGGATACTTTACGCAAAGGAAACCGTATATACGATTGACTGGGAAATTATTAACCAAGCTGGGTGCGCAGATTAAACTGCGAATTGATTCTCCTTTGAAACCGACGGATTAAGTCGATTAATGTCATGTCGCGTTGGTTGCCGGTGTCTCGCCGCCATAACTCGCGGCCCGATAAGATCGGATCACGCAATAAATTAGGACAGTCGCGGAAAATGGACACGGTCGATCGATGATGCCCGCGGGAAAAAAGAAGCAGCGTGTCATTAATGCGCAGGCTCCTGATACCGGGTTACGGGGAATTAGATACCCGATGCAAGAATTAGTTTAAACGAGATTAGAAGGCGGCACGGTACGACACAGAGAGATTAAAATTGAAATAACTTATGCGACTGGAGATTTGCCGTTTGAACGTTTCCGAGACAGGATTCGTTTTCCTGATATCGGTTGAATATCTTTGGCTAGCGTAGTTAATAAATACTCGAAACCAGAAACTGGTTATCGGACAATTTGTCGTGAAATGCAAAATGTTTTGATTATGAATGGTTTAGAATTATACGTTTCCGTGGCTAACAATAGTGTTATAAGTTAGTAAGAGTTCGTAATGCAGACTTAGATCGTGGGACCATGGGATTAATTGTTGAGTTAATACAATGTTTTGATTTATGGATCTGTGACATGACGAAGATTGATATTCTAAGAAGGAATTGTTTGAAAGAGAAACTGTAATATGATTATAAGATAGAAGATTGAAGGTTTGTACCGCCATTTCTCCACATGTTTGAAATTATCTGGGAACAGCGTAGACAAAATGATGAGAATGACAGCAACAAGGGTACATGGAAGCGGAGAATCTCTGCTTGTTGCAAGAAGCGATTAGAGGAGAAAGTATTTTATAGAGTAGTTAACCTGACAACACTGAAACTAAGATTGTGTACATTCTAAACATTCCACTTGCTGTGTTTTCTTAGTTTCCATTAAAGTAACATTAAATTGAGAAATTACTTCTATTGGTCATTTAATGACAAACTATTCTTTTTTGTTATTGTGCAATTAATCGGTGCGTATTTTCTTAATAGTCAAACAATGTATTGCTGCATATTGATTTAGAAAAAATGTGGTAAAATATTGAAATAGAATGAAAAATTTCATTGGAAAAATATGTACATTTAATTTTCGTAAAAAGAAATATTCAATGCGAAAAAATATAAAATCAAAATAATAT